TATATATATATGGCTGATCACCCTGCACATGATTCTACCAAAACCAGCCAAAAAAATCAACCTCCTCAGCCTAGTGAAAATTCTCAAACACCATTTTGCCCTATTCCTCCTCCACTTCTACCACCACAACCGGTGGAGGAGACAAATATCTCACCACGTCCGTTGATATCAAACATGGCAATATTAGAAAATACAAAATCTCCACCAAAAACAGTTCAACTACCAAATATTATACCAACTGTAACGACCAACATGAGTTCCACCTCATCACCAAGCCGCCCAACAGGTGGAAAACATCATGTATTCCGCGGAATACGAAGCAGAAGTGGGAAATGGGTGTCTGAAATTCGAGAGCCACGTAAAACTACAAGAATATGGCTAGGAACTTACCCTACTCCTGAGATGGCTGCTGCCGCATACGACGTCGCCGCATTGGCTCTAAAAGGCGGCGACGCTGTAATAAATTTTCCTGGTAACCTCACTTCGTATCCTTCACTTCCTCCTTCACCGTCTCCGGCGGATATAAGAAAAGCAGCCGCCAGTGCGGCGGCGCTGATGAAGCCACAAAATGGAGAAGGCACAATGCCGACTCAACCAGGTAACAGATATATATATGTGAAAAATAACTAAACTTTTGTCAGATATAAAATTTTAAACTGCACAAAACTTAAATTAATTTCAGAAGTTTAATAAGTCTACTTCTAAGAACCTTAAAATTTGAGACGTCTAATTTAAATTTTGGATCCGTCTATGCAGGTAATGATGATCAATCTTCTGGAAATGCACAGATGATTTCAACTGGTGGGCATGAATATATTGATGAAGAGGCATTATTTGATATGCCTAATTTTCTGGTAGATATGGCGGAGGCAATGATGGTGAGCCCGCCGAGAATGAACTCGCCGCCGTCATTCGAATCACCGGGAAATTCTGATGCAGAAAGTCTTTGGAGCTATTAAACAAAATTCATGGATTTAATTTCTTCTTATTACAACTTATTTGAGATAGCACAAAAGGACCATAAACATAGAATGCATGTTATACATGTATCTAGATCAATCACTTAAAAAAAAGATTTTTCTATGTGAAAAGGGAATTTTAGAAATAACGAAGGTTAGTCGTCTAGGGTTTTTTGTTTGTGAGCAAAAATGGAGTAGTTTTTTGTACTCCATAAGATTTTTTTACTGTTCCACTTGAGCCTTTTTCTTGATCCATTTCTAAACATCGATCTCTACAGACTACAGAGTAAAGTTATGGAGATGTGGCAAATAGGGTTTTGGTCAACTTTGAACGAGGAATGAAAAAGCCTCCCTGAAATGATAATGGTTTGTAAAGTCTTTCCATATTTGTCTTTTCTTCTTCACTTTTTTGCTTTCTTCTTTTGGGAGTTTTTCTTCTTTTTTGCATTGCGTTTGCGGGTGGGGGCATCTTGGTTTGTCTATACTAAACCAGGTTTCTTTTATACCGACAGCGTAAAAAAAAAATTATACGATCAAATTAGTTAAAAAATAAATAAATACCGTAATCGTCTATAATATGTAGGATAATTGACAGCCTGTCATATTTCTTGATATTATCAAATATGAATTATTACACAAATAGTCGATCAGATTCAATATTTACTTTTTTTTAGTCGGTATACATAAATTATCATGAATTAGATATACATATATTATACATGAATTATACTTCCTCCGGTCCACAATAAGTGACCAATTTGCTTTTGGCACGCCCATTAAGAAAATACCAAATTCTATACAAAAATACCTAGTATGACTAAACTACGCTTAATTAAATGTTTAATGTGAGGAGTAAGAAAACATTTTAAGGATATGTACATAAGGGTAATTTTGTAAAATTAAATTGAATTCTTTCTTAATTATATAAATAAACACTTATTTTGGACTAAAATAAAAAAATAAATTGATCACTTATTGTTGACCGAAAGGAACAGTTAAATTGAAAGACATATTGAAGTGCGGCGACATGGGAGCAATAATCACAATCTTGAAAGAGGTTTTGCTTTATTGTTTGCAATGGGAAAACGTGCTTAAAGCCTAGTCTAGCGGCTTTCTTTGTCTAAGATAAAATTTATTTATAGTACTAATTCAGCTAAGATATTAATGCAGTACTAAAATGTAGTACTATTCAGCTAAGACAGGCAGCCATGGGGATCTTATTCATGTCAACAAGATTTTAATCAATGTTTATATGGGACAGTGGTGGGACCAAATAGTAATTTGTGTTAATTATACATATCTCTCTATACTTTTAATATTCCAAGTGGATCATGGAACGTATCTCTTTAGATTTACAAGTTAGTAAATGACAAAGGACTTCCATTAGTGTACTCATACACAAAGTTTTTAAATGAACTCTAGGTAATCCAACTCAGATGCAAGGTCGTTGTTACATAAAATTAATTACAATTCAAGCCAAAGATATATTGGGTGGCTAAGGTTTGTTCTTGCATCAGACTAGTCTGGTTTTAGTCTATCTTGTCGTATATCATTTAATTTGGAAGAGATCGACTTTCTCTCTCTAATAATGATCTATGGATATTCTAAAGTGTAACTAGGGGTAGCAAACGAGCGGGTCGGGTCGGATATTAACGGGTCGAAAGCCTGTAATGCAAAAGGCGGATAAATTATCCGATATGATCCATATTTAACCGGCGGACAATATAGATATTTATATTACCTATGACTTCTTGAATATGATCACTTTTAAGAGAATTCCTAGCCTCTCAAACTCAAGGAAACACCAATTTGAGGGTTTACAAATATAAAAGTGTATACGGTTAAAACCAGGCCCACCCGATTTCACTGATTAATCGAGACCAGGGGGTGGATCCAGGATCAGCCCCGTAGTATATCAGACCGAGACATGAGGATAAGGTACCGAGTTCGGGATTCGAAGTACCTGTCGAGATCTAGACCAGTAATGATCGAGACCAAATAGGATAGACATCGAGCAAGGCCGAAGATAGCATAATAACGGAAAGGCGAGATATCCGTGACTGGTCGAGGATCGTGGCAGAAATCTCCGAATGGTTGTTTAGCTAATCACGGGAATTTTCTTCTGTAATTAGAATTGTACCATAAGTGGAATTCCTCTACTATATAAAGGGGGTTCTTATCATTTGTAACCATCTTATTCTCGCATGCTAGAAATTCAAAATCCCAGCTCACTTTGGACATCAATGGTGGTATGAGGTCTGAACGAAGAAGAAGAAGAGGAAAGGAGAAGGAAGACCGACCAAACTAGGGTTATTTCGATATAACCTAGGATATATGTCGGGTGTTCTTTTATTTGAAGGAGTTCTGAATATTTGATCACAGCCACACATCAAATATTGGAGTAGTTAATCACAACAGATCTTTTCCTGCTTTTCTTGATCAAATCTGGACCATTGATTTATTTAACTAGTAGAAGCTTCTTACCTCACCAGAAAATCACGTGAAGGAATATTGTTAGTTAGGATAGAATTTTGCTGTTACAATTAGAAAAATACAAATAGGACAAGTGTAAATAGTATTTTCCTTTTTCTTTATTTTATTCAATACTCAATTGTATATATGTACATGTACAAACAATTGAATGAATACACAGAAAATTTCTCTAACTCTTCAGTCATCTATTTCTTTGATTCTGCACAGCTGAATCTTCAAAATCCTTCATGGTATCAGAGCATTGAGCTCGATCCAACAATAATCATCAATCACCAAACTCTATCCTACAGCTCCAAGTGAAGAAAGATGTCTACCACTGATGAAACCATAGCTGCAAAAACTGGAAACACTCCCAAGCAGCAGGATATGACATTAATCACCCATATCATCTTAACAACTTAGATTCACCTGGGATGACCCTTGTCAACACTGTGTTTGATGGAAGAGGTTATCCAGGATGGAAGATATCCATTCTTCTATCCCTATCAACCAAGAAAAAACTTGGATTCATCAATGGGGCTTGCAAGGCTCTAGATCTGGACTCTACTGAATATGAGCAGTAGAGCTGTGTCAACGATATGGTTACATCTTGCATTCTAAATGCTATGTCAAAAGAGATTGCTGACAGTGTCATATACTCAAAAATAGCTAAAGAACTCTAGGATAGCTTGGAACAAAGATTTGGCAAATCCAATGGTGCCAAACTTTTCCACCTGCAAAAGGAGTTATCAAGTTTAACACAAGATAACAGTGATATTGATGGATACTTCACCAAACTTAAAAGACTTTCGGATGAATTAGATGCACTAAATGTAATCATAACTTGTTCATGTGTGTGTCTGTGTGAGGGAAAGGCTAAACTGACTAAGTCTTTGGAAGATCAAAGGTTTACTCAATTTTTGATGGGATTGAATGATGTATATGCACAAGCTAGAGGAAACATTCTTATGATGAGTCCTTTACCTAGCAAGGACATTGCATACTCACTACTTTTGCAAGATGAGAAGCAAAGGAAAATATATGCAAATGCACATTTCAATTCAGATTCTGCATCTTTCATGGTGGCTGGACAAGGGAAACAACCAAATGCACAGATTTTTGCTGACTTTGCAGCTTTCATGGCAGCATGACAAGGAAGGAATAATCAAAGGTTCAGAAATCAGGCCCCTAGAGGAACAGTGACTGCTCAAAAATTCAACAATCTAACTATAAAAGGTTGCAAGGCCACAGCAGAAACTCAGAGGGAAAAAGCAATATAATCCTAATCTATCTTGTACCTTTTGTGGGTAGATAGGACATACACAAGAGGACTGTTACAGACTGATTGGGTTCCTTGATGATTTTGAATTCACTAACCCAAAGACTTATCATAATCATTTCAAGGCAAATATGGCAACAACACAAGAGGAAGATAATGCAATAGGGCAGAGCAATGAGACCAACAGTAGCAATTTTGGACAACATTTCAGCAAGGAACAAATTGCAGAGATGATGGAGATATACAAACAGGCAAAATCAGCACAAACAGGAAGTTCAGGAATCAATGCAAATGTTGTGGTTGGTACTATTCTGAAATACTCAAGATCAGTGTTTACTAGTTTGAAATTAGATTCTTGGATAATTGATTCTGGAGCATCAGAACATATGTGCTTTGACCCCAAATCTTTCTTGTTTTTAATTCCACTCTCTGTACCTTTGAACATTAATTTACCTAACTCTTTCAAGGTAAGTGTTACTCATATAGGGAGTATCTCCATTCTGCCAGGTCATGTTTTAACTAACGTCCTTCATGTGCCATATTTTAAATATAATCTGTTATCTGTTTATAAGTTCTGTGTGCAATTCAAGTATGATCTTCTACTTACATCTAGTGGGTGTCTGTTGTAGGGCCTTTCAATGAGGAGTCCTCAAGTTTTTGGTGAAGTTAGAGAAGGTCTCTACCTATTAGAACCCACTAATTCCAAGTCTAGAAGTATACTTAGTAGTGATGTAATTTCATTTTCAAAAGGAAGAGATTCCAGTTTTAGGTCTGTTTTAGGTTCCAAGTCAGTTCATGTTAAGGTGATACCTAATGTAATGCTTTGGCAGGAATGGTTGGGTCATGTTCCAATTCAGCAATGAAATATTTACATTTCTTTCATTGTGCTTCAAATTCCGATTTTGTTTGTGATATCTGTCCTAAAGCTAAACAGACTAAGAATCCCTTTCTCATCAGCAATATAAAATCCAAGCATGCTTTTGATCTTATACATATTGATACTTGGGGACCTTATAAATCTAACACTTATAATGGTTTCAAATATTTCCTCACTATTGTTTATGACTACAGTAGAGGATCCTGGACATTCTTGTTAAGTGCTAAATGCAATGCTTTTCCTATGCTTAAGAGCTTCCTATCTATGGTGGAGAGACAATTCAATATGAAGGTTAAGATGATAAAATCTGATAATGACTTGGAATTGGGAAAGGGGACACAAGAAACAGATTTTCTTGCATCAGAAGGGATAATACATCAGTTGACTTTTGTTGGTACTCCTCAACTAAATGGAATTGCTGAGAGGAAGCACAGACATCTTCTAGAGGTTGCATGGGGATTAATGTTCCAGTCTAAATTACCTATATCATATTGGGGAGAGTCTATTCTGACTGCGACACATATCATAAATAGACTGCCTTCCAGAGTACTAAATGGTAAAACTCCATTTGAAGTCCTTTTCAAACAAAAGCCTAAATATGATTATTTGAGGAATTTTGGATGCCTGTGCTATGCTTCTACTTTAACACAAGGAAGAAGCAAATTTGATGAAAGAGAAACAGCTTGTGTGTTGATTGGATATCCTTTGAATAAAAAAGGATATAAGCTGTTAGAACTGGAAACTAAGAGGATTTTTGTCC